GGGGGAATCTCCCCAGGGCTGTGGGGGGGTGAGGACCTGGCCCAGATCGGTGTGACTCACTAATCTGACTTTGCATCGGAGCAGGTCACACAGCTCCAGGAGGTGCACACAGGAGTGGTGCTTCCCAGAGCCATGTGACCTGTTCCAGTGCAAAGCCAAACTAGCAAGCCACACGGGGCTGGGCCAGGTCCCACTGTACAACACCTCCCCACAGGGAGAGCAGGGCAGAGGCGGGACCTAGTGTGTCATGCGGGGACCATGTGCCAGGTCCTGCTGGCCTCCCTGCCACCTGGCTGGGCTGGTCCCCCAGCAGCAGGACCCGAACCAGGCCCAGCTGGGTCCCGCCAGCCCTGGGGACCCTCTGCCACCCAGCTGGGATGGTCCCTTGGTGGCAGGACCCGGTGTGGCACATGGGGACCACATGCCGGGCCCAGCTGGGTCCTGCCAGCCCTGGGGCTACTCGTGCTTCCTGGGCAGGCCGGTCCCATGGTGGGCAGGACTGTGTGCTGTGGGACCAGCCCGGCCGGGCAGCACAAGCAGCCACAGGGCTGGCAAGACCCGGCTGGGCCTGGCACGCGGGGACTGCGTGCTGTGCCGGGTCGGGCCACCAAGGGACTGGCCCAGCTGGGCAGCAGAGGATCCCCAGGGCCAGCAGGGCCCAGAACATGGTCCTGCATGCTGCACCAAGTCTTGCTGCCATGGGACTGGCCCAACCAGGTAGCAGAGGGTCCCCAGGGTGGGCAGGACCTGGCTGGGCCCAGCACACAGTCCCTAAGAGCTGGCAGCAGGAGGCTCAGAGTGCCCCATTCCTGCTGCTGCTGTGAAAAGTAAGTTATGGGGCCTGGGTGGGGGAGGGCTGGGGCCCTCCAAGGGGGAGATGGGACCCTGGGCAGGGGGGCTGGAGCCCTCCGGGGGCAGCTGGGGCACTGTGCGGGGGTGCATTCCATGTGCTGGGGGGCTGCACTCTCCTGAGCAGCCCCTCCACAAGGTCTCCCACACCCATAGTCCCCCCAGCAATTGCCC